TTAATTGCCAAGTCGGGCAGCCTTCACTGTAATGTTGGCAGGAGACTTTTCTTACTGTGAAACAAGAAACCCTCCTAGCCCATTCCGACTCGTGGCAATCCTGTAGGACGGAGCGGAACTCTTCCACAGGCTCTCGCAGACTGCCCATCCCCATGGAAGCAGACGGCCTCATCTCTCTCTTGTGGGGCAGCTGGGAGAGTTGAACCACCATTCCAGTTAGCAGCCCTGCGTTTAATTAAAGGTGCCACCTTGGCTTCTTTTCTTCCTGCTCAGGCTCAGGCTCAGGCAAATAACCAGATTTGAAAGCAGGAAAGGGCCTTCAAGGGGATTTTTAGAGAGACGTCCAGAGGTGTGTTAGGTTGGCTTCTCAGTTGGTTCTGACCTTGCCATTTCCGTGACCTCTCTGTTGTCACATGATGGCAACAGATATAGATCAAACACATAGTCACATTACTACGGACCTAAGCCAGACTCTGAAACAGGAAACATTGGTGCCTTTCTGTATCCGCTCCAACTCCCCTTCTCTCATAGTCTTCCTCAAGTGACCTCTCAGTCATACCCTGCCTGTCTTTGCAGACAGGTGATCGCTAACAAACTGTTATCTAATGGGTGGGACATTGATTCTAGTAGCAAAAGAAATGTTCAAGACCTAAGACGTGGACGAAGGTGGCCCGGGGGCTGACGGGCAGACTCTGTTCTCACCTGTATTATTAAGACACAGAATTTCAGGGGAAAAGAGGATGTCTAAGGAGCCCCAGAAGTAACCATTGAGTGTAGATTTTCCAAACGGATGAACTCTACCTTTGCCCTGGTATTTGCTTCGTTGAGGCCAGGAAGACTTGCCGGTTCCTAATCAGGTCGTATAAATGCAAACTTTTGACTGGAGCTGGCTGATGTCCTCTGCTTAGTGGATCTGAACCCACGGCTGTCTTTGACTTCCAGGTGAGCGACGAAATGGTGGTGGAGCTCATCGAGAAGAACCTGGAGACCCCTTCGTGCAGGAACGGCTTTCTTTTGGATGGCTTCCCCCGGACGGTCAGGCAGGCCGAAATGGTGGGTCTCAGCTTTGCCTCCACTGACCCTTTAGCCCTTCATTCCTTTGAAGGGGACGGGTTTGCTTAGGTGGGCCACACACTCTCTTACAGCTCGACGACCTCATGGTGAAGAGGAAGGAGAAGCTTGATTCCGTGGTTGAATTCCGCATCCCAGACGCTCTGCTCATCCGGAGGATCACAGGAAGGTATCTGTCTCTAGAACTTCCAAGGAGAAGATCCCTTCTTCTCGTGCTCTGTCAGACTTTGTCCCGTGATGAGAATTGCTGTTGCCTAATCCTGGCTTGGAGATTTAGTGGCATTTCGACACGGATTGGTTTTGTTTGGTGATGTCAGCTGAAGTGGTGCCACAGAACGGAGTTTGATACGACGTGCCGGAGAGTGGAGGCGGCTAACGCTGTGGTCTTGTCGCCTGATACCTTGGCCGTAGGCAAGTTCTTAATTTCTCGAAGACGGTTTCCTCCTCCACAAAGTAGGGTGAATGATGCTTGTTTTACGCATGTGGGACAGAGTTCAAAACCCAAAACATGTTAATTTCCTTACGTGTGTATTTCTATTGTGGGTTTCTTGGATCGGATTTCAGTTGGCGGTACCATATCTTGCTCTAGGCATTTAATAATTTTAAAAATAATTAATCACCTACATTAAATTTGGGAAATGGAAGGGGAAAATTTCTCATGGTCCAATTACCGTAGCCAAGACCACTATTATTCTCTTTGGTGTTTTTGTTTGAAGAGTTTCTGTAGTAGTCAACATGAAACACAGAAATCCTTTGTTCTGAAAGGCCATTATTGTATTAGCTACAGTGTCTGTGTTTGCTAATCTTTCTTCTGTCTTCTTTGTGCCTTCTAGAAATATTTGGATTTAATTAGAGAGGAAATGTGTTTTTGTTTCAAAATATTTTACTTTGATTTTTTTTTTTTTAATGAAATTCAACATTGGACCATGTTGAAAGTCTGTACTTCTCAGAAGCGACAGGAAAGCAACCATTCGCGGTGTTATGTGGAAGGTTATATGAGATGGGGGAGGTGTACTCGCGTTATATTAATTTCTTTTGTCTAGATTTTATGCTTCCATTTATTCCATAGATGCCTCCAGTGCGGGCTCTTTATCTTTTCCTTCTTTGCCTCCCCTTTGAGCACAGAGTCAGCGAGCAGAGATGGAGTTGACAGTAAGGGACTCTCTGCGGGGCAAAACCTGGGGAAGGGGAGATGCTAACAGAAACAGGTGAAATCAGGGATGGTAGATTCAACTGGCCCAAAGAATCAATAAGCCTAAGCTCTTCAAGGCTGTGGGCTGCAGGGGAAAGTCCAAGAAGGGCAACCAGGGGCAGAGAGGGAAGGGTCACAGGAGAGGTATAATGTCAAAGCCTGCCTTCCTGGGTGGGACGGCTTCCCTTAGGCTCTCCCGGGAGGGGGGGAAAGGCAGGAAGGAGCTGGGGGGAGTGCTGTCCACTCTGCACCAGAGGAGCCCTTCCAAGCCTCGAGTGAAAAGGGCCTGGCCTCGGAGTACCTGACTGCAGTCACAGACACTCCTCAGCACACCCTCCACCCGCTCCCACCATAGTATGCCACCCACAGACCATCCGGCCTCCCACGTACCCAGCAGTTAAAATGCAGGGTCATTTTATAAAGATGGCTTCGCTTCTCTAACACAGGATGTCCCAAGGTATTGTTCCCTCCGCCACCAGAGCAGTGTGCAGAGTCTGGGCGGTGGTAGCTTCCTCAGGAGACGCAGAGAACCTCTCCTGTTACCCTAGGCTTGTTCAGTAGGAGTTTTGCATGTGCGGTGTGACGAAGTCGGGAAGCGCTGGTCTCAGGCCTTGGTGGAGAGCGCCGCAGTCAATGGAATAAACGCGCTTGGCGGACTCAGAATTGGGAAAAGGCGTGCGCTCAAGTGAGCCCTGGCTGCTGAGCCGCGTGTAGCTGTGGTGTGGCCACTCCCCGTCAGGAGCACGCGTTTGTGACCGCAGCGTTCAGCACTGCTGCCAAGATCAGTTACACATTTATTGCTATGGAAGTGCTTGATCTCAGGCTCTTTCTTCCATGACTCGTTGAAGGCTGCCCTGTAATCGTTGGGCTGCCCTTTAACTGCGTGGCCTCAGAGGTGTGCTACGTGGCTGGGGGTGTTTGCATTCTGGGACATCTTTATGTTTTTCTTGTGGCATCTCTCTTGCCTTACAGCCAAACCAGTTAGACAATAGAGTTAAGTTCTCTGTCCTCTGTTGCTCCTATTTAGCACTTTGTACAAATGTCGAGTTCTGCCACTAAATTAAGCACTGCTTGTGAACCAGGGTTCTGACTCATTTCTTTGTAGCCACTGGATTTTGATCTAAGGGCCCGATTCAGACTAAACCCTTACCGTTTGCTGAATGAGCAAATCCATAGAATGACTGTGTGTGAGAGCAGCCCCGAGTTCCTTCTCTCAAGTCCTGAATTAGGTAGTTATGCCCGCGGTTGGCCTCTGGAGCCAGTGTTTGGTCACGTGGAAAACGTGGTGACTCGGGTGTAACTCTCCTAGGAGCTCAGTTATGAGCAAGAAATGCCTTTATCCGAGTTCTCTGCTGAGTGAGAGTCCTGAAGTCTGGTTCCTCTGTCTCTGCTTGTCACCTGGTGACCCTGGGGCAATACTTCAGGCAGCATGGCTTATGTTCATTTGTTGTCTTTTAGGCTGATTCACCCAATGAGTGGCCGTTCCTACCACGAGGAGTTCAACCCTCCAAAGGAGCCCATGAAAGATGATGTACGTGTGTTCAGGGCAGGGAATGTTCTTCTCCTGCCTCCCTCTTCCTTTGCTATGTCTTTTTCTTTCTTTCTTCGTCCCAGCTTCCCTTTATTTCCACCAACATTACTAACTGGACGTTGAGCTGTGCTGTGTCAAGTACCTCAGCTGTGGCTGATCTGTCCCCCTCCAAGGCCCAGAATGCCACTCCAGAGCAGCCTCTTTCCAGCCTCATGGTTGTGTAAGGGGTCAGCTGGTTAGGAAGCCCGCTGAGAAACCCAGAATGAGAGGTGGGGGGAATAGTGCTGAAGAGAATTTGGGGGGTCGATCCCAGGAGAAGCCCTCGGTCTCATTAACTTCTCTGCCGTACCCTATGGATTCAGAATCTCTTGGCTAGATTCACAGTGCCAAGCTCTGTGATAGGCTTGGGTTCCTTTTGAAGACATGAAACAAGGGTAGGCTCTCATACAGTTTTACCTGTCCACATGGGACGGTGAATAAGGAAGACCCAAGATGAACTGATGCATGTGAGTTAGGGTGTTGGCAAAGAATACTAAATCCACCCAGGACTACCATAAGAGCCAATGGCTGTCAGAAAAAAAATACAGCTTAGAATGCTCCTTAGAAGTGAGGTTTTTAAAATAAAAAAAAGAAGTAAGGTTAACGGTAAGAATCTCCTGGATTTATCTTTATCATAAGATTACGCCATCAGGTTATTGTGGTTCTTTAAATGCAGGTTCCAAAGTCGTCATCTCAGCTTGTTCACATCTTACGAAATTGAGAACTCTACCCTTCCCAGGATTCTCACTTCCCTTGCCACTCTGAGACCGTTAGGGAGGTGACACGCCTGTCAGTACACTCCGGGCTGAGCTCACGGCCGCTCGTGCAGCTCATGTCAGTGCGTCCTCCTCGCCTCCCTCGGGGTCTCTCTCCCTTCCTTGCTGCTGGCCCTGGACATGTTCCTGCTGGAAGCTAAGTCGCCGAGCACAGAGCTGCGAGAGAGAGACATTGCCCAGCTCTCTCTCGGGCCCCTTTCCTCACAGTTGCAATCTCCGACAGCCTGGCTTCCCGGGGCCAGCCGTCTACTTGTAAGAGTAGCAGGATTCCTGTTGGAGAGGGTCCAGACCCTCGCTTTCCCCTGGTGGACCTTGGAGTCAGAGAATATCTTGAGCAAAATGGTCCCTTCTCAAGCGTGTATCTAGAACCAGCTACCGTGCTCATGGCCCTGCCTCCCACTCCCTCGTCCTCTCCTCAGATCACCGGGGAGCCTCTGGTCCGCCGATCGGATGACAACGAGAAGGCCTTGAAGATCCGCCTGGAGTCCTACCACACGCAGACCACCCCGCTGGTGGACTACTACCAGAAGCGGGGCATCCACTGTGCCATCGATGCCTCCCAGACCCCTGACGTGGTGTTTGCGAGCATCCTAGCAGCCTTCTCCAAAGCCACATGTAAAGACTTGGTTATGTTTATTTAATGCCGAGCCCGAAAGTGACTTTCATTTCTTGTTCTTTTCCCTGTTGAGAAGGGGTGGGAATGGCAGCACAGGCACAGGGAGACTGTCTAAGGCCAGCAAGGACACCGTTGGACGCATTGATTAAAGAAGCACTTGTTTGATGTATCTGCAGTGTGTGTGCAACTCTCATCTCACCTGTGTGTGTGGCCCCCGTGTGTCCATCTAAGTACGTGTATACTCTCCTTGCTACGTCACAGGCTGGGTTCCTTTACCAGCCGTTTCAATACTTGTGCCACGCCCTTGCCTTAATGTTAACCCAGGTATCTACCACTCACTGCCACCAAGTCCGTCTGACTCATAACGCCCCTTTAGAGCCGGGAGAACAGCCCCTGGGGGTTCTGAGACTGATGGGAGTGGGAAACTGCCCCTTTCCCACCCAGAGCAGCTGGTGGTTTCTCACTGCTGACCTTGCGGTAAGCAGCCCCCTGTGGAACCCACTACACCCAGGCTCGGCTACCTGTCTATCAGGATCCTAAAGCTAAAACCTCAGGGTATGTCTTGCCCAGCAGCCGAAGACAAAACCCCAGAATTTCATAAAAGCAGGCAAAGTCACGTGTCTTGGTGATGGGTATTGGAATCGAAGCCCACCATGAAAACCCATGTGACTCCGTCTGTGCCCCGGGACCCTCATTATTAACCCCTTAAACGGAGGGGAAAAGTCATTACTGCAGAAATCACCTGGGGGGGTGGGCGGGGGGGGGGGGGGGGTATCACCACAGAGAGAGCCCGGCCGAGTCACAGTCTTTTCAGATCTGTGTCCTGATCATTTGGGACCAGTGCGGGAAAGCAGAATCATGGCCAAAGAATTAAACCAGGTAGAAAGTTCTTTTGACTTCAGATTGTCATCTGGGCTGGTCATCCAGAACAGCCAAATCCCCTTCCCCAAAGAGAGCAGCGTAGGTTTGTCTGTCTTAATTTGTAGGTTTGCCTCTGTTTCCAAATGGTTGAACAAGGCCAGGGTCTGGAGGAATCTTAGTCTTGGATTAATTTTGATCAGGCTGTGAAACCCAAGTCCTTGTGCTTTCAAATCTTTCAAATCCAACCCCTCACAGATCCAGTGCTTCACCCCTTACCGTCCTTGATGGTGGTGGTGGCACAGACAAGCCCTGAAAAGATGTCACCTGTGACAGTGACCACCTTTTAGTCGTAACCTCCGCTCCCCATCCAGTAAGTTTCCTGGAGTCCATGCTGTGCCGCTTTGCCCGGGCTTTGGTTGTGGCAGACAGATGAGGTAGTGGACTGCTGTGAGGGACCCCATAAAAGCAGCCCTGGGAAAGCCATTAGGAAGCCAGTGGCAGGTCCAGTAATAATGCGCCTGCCTCGGTGTAATCTGCTGACTCGATGGAACGGACTCTCAAGTGCCCTGTCCCCCTCCGACCTGAGCTCTCCACCTGTCCGGGAGGCTACATAGAGCTTGCTCCTGTCCACACACAGTTGGCCGTGGGTACGTGGCCACCTTGCTTTCCTCGCTCTCCGTTCCAAGGGCGTGTGCTGGCTCTGTTCTGCCTTATTTCTCTCGCTGTAAACTAACTCCACTGATTCTAAATGGAAATACAGTCTGGTGCTGTGGGATTCTGGAAATCATGTGACTTCTGAATATGGGCAAGGGAAGAAGGGTAAACTACAACTGTCGGCTGTGCCTGCAGAGAATTAGACTCCGTCTCTGGATGGGGGTGGCCTCTTGAATCTGGGAGTCGACTCTCAGACGGGAGACGACTGCAGGCAGTTGGCCTCTAAACAGAGGCCCCTGAGTGTTTGCTATTGCATGTGCATGCTTATTGCTCAGATATCTGTCATTGATCCGCATGCGTTCACGTATGCGTGCGTGCACATACATGTGGTGGGCTGCCTAGAAAGAGAACGAAGCCCTTCTCAGGGTGGGTAGGACTTGACTTCGTTTAATTCCAGAGTGCTAACCTCAGTGGGCAGGAGAGCTTTCACCTGGTGAGCAATGGCCAGTGTGGAATGCGTCTGGTTGCTGGGGCATGCATGCCAGCCATCTCTGAATTTATTTGGTTTTTAAAACCCATTTTGTTCTCTCTTGTTTCCTCTCTGTTTCAGCCTAGTAACAGAAGCCAGGCGAGACTGCACCGCTGCTCCTCACCCGCTGCGTGGTCCCTGCTCTGGGTGCTGGGCAGAGGGAGGTGGTCACGGCCCCGGAGGAGGGTCTGGGAGAGCAGCCGTGTTACTGTAAGGAGGCGGTTTCTTTTTCACAGCAGTGGGAGGTTGTAAAAGTATAAAGGTGGAAATTAATTTTAAAAAACAAACTGTGATTGGGTGGTGTGGGTAGAACTAGGGAGGTACAGTATTGTAATTTCTACAGAATCCAGTTTTCAATTACTTAGTACTGGTAACAATATTTTTTTATAAAGCCGGGACCTTAAGACCTCAGCTTTTATCTCAGAACCTCATGAGCTTCCAGCCAAGAATGCAGAAAATGAACTATTATACTGTCTGCCCTAAAGCGTGGCACGGGGAGACTTTGACTACTGAACCTGATTCCCCCCACCAGGAGATTAAAAATCATCTCCACGCATGAGAGAGGTGTGGAGTGCTCATGGGGAGGGTGGCTCAGCCTCAAGTCCTGGAGGGCTGGGGAGGGGGCGGGCACAACGCTCTCACTCTTCCCCAAGCTGTCCGTGGACTGACCTGTCTGCCCGCTCTGGCCATGGATTAGCTCCCAGACATCCAGAACACCCCACAATCCTGCACTCTGCCCTTCTACTGTGTGTGAAGAAACCCTTTGCGTATGTATGCAAGTATCCTGAGCAATATCATCCAAAGATTGTCTCTCCATGCTCACGTGCTGTGACGGCTCACCCGACAGCACTGTGATGTACTGTCCTCAACAAGGTGCCTTTCTCAAAGTGACCATTGCTGCCATGTTTGGCCTCCGAGTCAATAAAATGTGTTTAACAGTTTGTATTCCCTGCTGTGGCTTTTTTCCTCTCCGCCCCTAAGATGACATGGGGTTCTGGACCGGCCTGGAAAGCCCTCTCTCAGTTACTGAAAAAGCCTTGTGCTAGAGGTCAGCGTGTGGATTCCTAAGCTGCGCCTCGACTCTCTTGACCTTCAGCTTATCCACACACCAGGCGGCTCGGTCTGCTGGAGAGAGCACTGTGCTTGGAATTGAGGAGGGACCAGTCCCGGGGGGAGGGCACCCTAATTGGTCGAGAGTCCGTGGAAAGACCACCCTCAGTGAGCCGGACTGAGTGGCGGTGATCGTGGGTACAACCATGACGACCCTGAGGAGGGCGCGAGACCAGGCCGGGTCTTTCTCTGGTGTGGGTACACAGGGCCCCCACGAGTGGAGCCCGCTCACGGTGGCCTCGAAGGACAGCAACAGGGAACCTTCCAGCCAGCCGTTCCCCTGCTTTCCTCGTGGAAAAGGAGGCTGTGAATGCCATTTTCTCAGACTTCTGTTGCCAAGTGACATTTATCAGGCGAGGCTTCTGCTTGGTGTCTGGAACGCCAACAGACTCTGGGCAAATGATAGTTGGATCAGACATAAAAATAGCTGCTTCCTGTTGGGCTGGATAGCCCGTGTACAGACAGTTGCCCACACCCTAAAAGGCCAGTGCTGCTAATCCCCAAGCCAGATTTCTGGCTGCTTTTCCTCTGCCTCTTTTTAACACCTTTGGTGGCTTCTCTCTCTGCCTTAGTTTAATCCACTCTTCCCAGCAAAAGTGAGCTGAGATCATTTGACCAAACTAAAGCACTTTGGTTTGGAGAGGGGAGGGGACGGATACCTTTGCTTGTGAGGTTTCTGAGAAAGGACTTTTTCCTGACAGCAGAGGAAACTAACTGCGCTTAAGGCCCCTCCACTGCTCCTCGGGCCTTCTTGTTCCTGGGAGAAGAGGCATCACCCCAGAGCCAGTTGCTGCTGCTGTACCACATCTGTCGGCCAGTGTCAACATGACTCGTTTCCTCTGACCCTTAACATCCCTGTGCTGCTCAAATTCCACATGAAAGTTACCCCTTATGTCATCAGGGGACTAAGTGGTCAAACCTGCTTGGGAGGCAGCCTGGTGCATACGGGGAGGGGAGGTGGTAATTAACTGGAAGCTGTCAGCTGTTCTGTGGACCTCCAGTCACCTATAAACCAAGAATTGCTGCTTTTCCTGGAGGGCAGACACGTGCCAGCTGCTTTGCAAAAGTCTTGCACCCCTAACCTCATTCCTCACAGGTAAGGACAAGAAATAAAATTCTCTATTTCCTGAAGTCACACAAAAGGCAGAGTTGGGGTTCAAACTCTGTTTCTGACAACACAAGTGGCCTCGATCTATGGCTGAAGTGATAGTGACTTGCACACCTCTACGGGCAGGAAGGGTCAGGGTTGGGGGCTCCAGATGTGTGCTCGAAGCCTTGCAGACAACAGAACTGAGTGGAGAGCAGCCTTGGGAAGCCTCACAAGTCTCAGGGGGACAGCTGCAGGAAAAGACATTTCCACAGCCACCCTGCCGTCCTGAGGACTCACCTCGCCAGTAGATGGAGGTGAGCACTGCCCTCGGGTGTGCCGGCAACACTGGTGCTGCAAGGTTCCCTAGACTCTGGGTGCTCCCATGCTGAC